ACAGATGATGGAATGGAAGAACAGAAAAAAAAGGGGGAGAATTGTTTGATGGAAAAAACAGAGAAAACATAGAATACATGAAGCAGGTTCAAAGAGATTACCAGGAAACCAAAAACTCTATCGAAAACTGACCTAACAGCTTGAAAGAAACTAAGGATAGATTATCTGAACTGGTGGGCAGATTTGTAATATGGGCACATGAAATGAAAAACTTCTTAAAAATAACAAAAAAAACCCAGCAACAATACAAAGGCTAGCAGATGGTAAGAGGATCTATAACTTAAGAATTAAGAATATAAGAGAAGAAGTGGGGACACAAACAAATGGACTACAAAAGCTATTCACAGAAATAATACAAGAGAATTTCCCTAATTTAGCAAAAGGTAAAGATACTCAGATATATGAGGCATACAGGACCCCAGCCACCTACAACCCAAACAGAGCTACACCCAGGCATATAATAATCAAAATTCCAGAAATCCAATATAAGAGCAGAATATTAAAAGCCATCAGAGACAAGAAACAGATCACTTACAGTGGAACACCGATCAAAATTACAGCAGACTTCTCGGCACAAACCATCAAATCACGAAGAGCGTGCGGGGAAATAATTCGACCTTCGAAAGATAATAACCTCCAGCCAAGATTGATATATCATGCACAACTGTCCCTGGAAATTGATGGAAAAACAAGGTGCTTCCAGGATAAAGAGGAACTAGGGGAATTTTCAACCACCAATTCAACTCTACAGAGAATACTGCAGGACATTCTAAAAAAAGAAAATTACCAAAAATCCAGAAACAGTGGCAGAGAGGCCACAATGAATGGAGCAGAAAGCAAAAGGAAGAAGACAAACTGATAACAAACAACAGAAAAAGAGCTCAACGGAAATGAGGCAGAGAAGATTGGATGGTAGAAACAGCTATTTTGGAGAAAACAAGACATCATAATAGCTAGTGCTGATTTAGTATCATCTTGTTTTGAAGTCCCATCAAACTTGTATTCTTCTATCTCCATCCGTCTTAAAAGGTTGTATCTTATTGGATTTTATTATATATGATAATATAAGCAAAAACTTTTATAGACAAGGAGATTATACAGAAACCATTATTCATGTTAATTGGTTCTAAATACCCTGTAATAATGTCATTCTCTTGAATGGTTTTATAGTGTCTTGATATTTTTGGTGCTACAGTATACGAAGTTATACTCAAAGATTTCAAGAAAAGAGACACTATGGTAACTAATTTTATATCAAGATATCTTGTAGTAAAACACTACTTTGCTTAAATGGTTATGTTTTGACCTGTGCTATTCTGTTGTTATGCCCTCTTTTATCTCAATCCCCCTTTTTTTTAAAATTATTTACTTCTTTATTTTTATTTAATTAAGGGAAAAATAAATAAAAAAATAACAGGATACATTATAGTAACTACTTTGATTTCCTACTAACTTGATTTGAAATCCTGTAATGCCCTCACCATCTTGTTTTGACTGATTTTCTCCTATTCTGCTTTGCTTGTTGGTACCAAATTCAAAAGTACAGGCCACAACTGTGAAGACAATAAGATTTATTACGACGCCCATTCTGGTTGACTATTATCTTCTTTTAAAGTCCTATAATGTCTCCAATGCTTTGGTTTTATTCTTTACTGTTTTGTTCAATTTTATTATACCTGGCAATTCTTCTTAAAATAGCAAGAGGCAGTATGGTAACCATTGTTGATCACCTTGTATTTTGTTTTTACATTATCTATTATGTCCATCCTTTTGATTTGACTGACTCAGTTCCGATACGTCGCATTTGGTTTTACTCTCTTCAGAAAAAGTAGTAAGAACTGTGGGAGTAATAAAACCCAAAATGTGTAATTCTCATTGTACAAATGAAAAGAAAAGAAAGTGTTCTAAAGGTTATAGCTGCATATATGTTTAGATGTATAAGATAGATAACCATATTACTGAGCTTTTTTGGATCATTCAACAAAACTGTTTGCAATCTCACTGTTTGAAAGTCCTCTTTATATGCTTTAATTTTGTAACTTGAACAACTATTTCTAAGATGAGAATATGTAATCTATTAACTAGTGATTTCTTACTGTTTATTTTTTAAATTGTGTATTACTTGTACCCTTTTTCTTTTTCTTTTTCTCCTATATATTTTCTAGGTAGTTAAGTAGTATCTGTCAGAATAAAGATGTAAAGAGCTTCAGTCGATTGAAAGATTTTTAAACAAGATACACTATGGAGGGTAAAAAGATTCAAAATCAAATTGTGGACGTAAAAAAAAGAGTGAATAATATAACCCTTTTAAACTATGATGAGTAGTATAAATTTTATTTAAAATGCAATTAAAACCCACCTTTTTAAGAATAGTGCAATATAATTCAATGTATATTTTGCAAAGCTAGTTCTGACTCTCTGTAGAGAATGCACTAGAAGAATCCATGAAAGAAAGCTGAGAAAACAGTAATGAAGTCATCATATTGATTCAGGCAAGATGGATCAATGGCCTACAGTAGGGAATTGCAATAAAAATACATATTGAAAAGTACATATTGAAAAGATACAAAATGTATCTCAATATGTACTGAAAAGTACATATTGAGATACATTTTGGAAATAGAATCTGTAGGGCTTACAAAGAATTGGGTGTAATAAGAAATAGGATTATGACATCACTTTTTGATTTAGTAGTAGATACTACTGCATGCTAACATTTATTGGAGAAGACTGGTAGAAAAATAGCAGAGAAAGGAAAACCAACAGTTCCACTTAAAGCATGTCAAATTTGAGATGACAAGATATACAAGTACAAAAGTTAATTACTAATTTCGATATGTGAATTAAGAAAAACGAGATAGATAAACAGATTTGGGAGAAATTAGAATATTAACAACAGGAATAGGAGAAATCACCTAGGGAATAGAAATAAGTAAGTGAAAACATTATTTGTAAGAAAGATTATGTTTAAATATTGGAATATAGTGCTTAAAGAACACATTCAAAATGATAGCCCTAGCGAGGCACAGTGGCATGTGTTTATAATACAAGATAGTTGGGAGGCTGAGGTAGTAGGCAGGAGGATCACACGTCAGAGGCTAGCCTGGGCAACAAAGCAAGAGTACATTTCAAACATAAGAAAACATTGACTTGCTCTTCATAAATGACTGACAATGCCATGGAAGGCAGTTTCACACCTATAGGTTTCATAATAAAAGAATGAATAAATAAAATACCTATTTAAATTATTTCATTTTGAGGCTTTATTTCTATTAAGGTTATTGATAATACTTAGTCTCTGTCTTTCTGTCTCTGTCTCTGTCTGTCTGTCTCTCTCTCTCTGTATCTTTTGTTTTGTTTTGTTTTGTTTTCTAACACAGGGCCTCACTATGTAGTTCAGACTGGACTTGAACTCCTGGTGATCCTCTTGCCTCAGCCTCTTGAGTGCTGGGATTACAAGTGTAGGGCACCATACCCAGGCTAGAACTTCTCTTTTTTAAGCGCACGTATGAATCACAACACCAATAAACTGCAGGATGTTCAGTGACACAACATTTGTTCACCATGCTCAAGGCCCTGGATTTGATCCCCAGCACCACAAAAATAAAACACAACACCAACTATGCAGCACCAAAGGTTAGCATACTATGTAACATGGGACAAGCCCAGCCTGTTACTTGTTTTTATACGGTCTGTGAATTAAGAATCATTAATGCATTTTTAAATGGTTGAGAGAGGGAAAAAAAATCACAAATAATGTTTCTTTCCTGTATCTACAGAAAAAGTCATATTGGAACACGATTATGCTTTATCTTACTTTTTTTTTTTTTGAAACGGGGTCTCACTATGCAGCTCAGGCTGGCCTTGAGCTCACTTTGCAGCCCAGGCTGGTCTCGAACTCACAACGATCCTCCCACCTCAGCCTCCCAAGTGCTGGGATTACAGGTGTGAGCCACCATGCCCAGCTAGTTATGCTTTATCTTTCATATATTGTATATGGCTGTTTCTACTCTTCCACAGTAGAACTGAGTAGCTGCAGCAGACACTGTATGACCCATAAATCCTAAAATACTTATTTCCAGGCTTTATACAGTTTTCTAACCATAATATAGCACATCATTAACTTGTATCTAAACTTAACAAATATCTCACGTACCTGAAATTCCAGGAAATAGCTTACAAAACACTCAGAAAATTTCCATTTATCAAAAGAACTCACATATAAGTATGATTTATAAGTATGTCTACCAGGAACCATTCACAAAGAACTGAACCAAAAATTTAATATTATGTTTATGCACAGTGGTAGAAATACTGAATAAAAGTGAGAAATGACTCGGTAACCATTTCCACCTCACACATATAAACTTTAGTTAATCCATTTCTATCCCTCCTTTCCCACTATCTCTGTTTTTTTTTTTAAAAAAAAAAAAAGTGTGTGAAGTATTTTATACCTGATATTGCTAGTAGGTCCCTAAAAGTAACCACTCCCGAAACACTGTAACACTCTGCAAATTTTTAAAAATATAATTTATTCTACATACCTACCACTATCCAGGTAAACAAATATTCTTACCATTTGAATTTTCCAAGATTTAAGTTTTCTATTATTACCTCTATTCATCCTGGGCATAAATGTATGCATTATATGATTTTTTTCAGGTCAATATAAAATTATTCAGTAGATAATTATTACAGGGAACTCACTAATACTCAAGAAGATTAAGAAAAAGCCAAATGCTCTCAAAAGAGTGCCAGATATCTATAAAGTAGTTAGAAATAGGAAAAATATAAAATACAGTGTTTCTACTTAATTCATTTAAAACTATTATTGGTTTAGCATGAAAATACTTTAGCTTGAGAAACACTGTAGGCAAACTAAAGTACTATTACCACAAATATTTCTAACAAAATTAACATTAGTTAAAAACAATTTTTATACCATTTACTCAACTATATAACTTAGTTTTCCTTTATTTCTAGGCAATTAAGAAACTCACACTGTCTTCCACATCTCCAGTCTTCCAGCCTTTTAACAGCATTTTAGACACGGGTATGTGAAGTTCATTTTCTAGAATCTGTTTAATTTCTCCTGTATAAATAAGAACAAGCCACATATTAACAAAATAATGTAGTCAACATGTGTCCATATTAGCACTAACATTAATATCTGGCATACAGTGTACTGTCACTGACAGTTATCTGTGGAACAATTAATCAGTAAGTCAAACCTTACATTTCCTTGATAAAACATGCTGCCCCTTTGAAGAACTCAGGTGTCAACATTAATTATAATACAAGACTCCATAATTAATTAGTTATTTTTTCTTAAAGTAAGGAGATGGCCCAGTAATGGAAATTGAACACAGTTAGGGAAGTACTCTACCACTGTAAGGGAAGAACACAGGGAAGTACTCTACCACTATTAGGGAAATACTCTACCAGTACAATATCTGAAACCCTGAAGTATAACTTTTTAAAAAGAAACAGGTATCAGAAACCAACCGACAATACATATTTGAATAGGCAAACCTGAGGATTTACAGGGAAAGCAGGTTTTATGATGAAACTATAGGTTGAAATTTTATTTTGAAGAAATTAATCTGCCTGTTCTTATTTCTGCATCTATAAAATAGAGAATAATATTACTCATCATATCTAACCATAGAGTATGAGGATAAAAGCAAACAATGTATCTTAAAATAACTGAAAAGGCCAATGTATATTATCGGGAAAACAACTTACAGTACGAAGGAAAACACAACAGAATTATGGAATCACAGAATCTGTGTTGGTTCACAGAGCCAGAGAAAGCTTTGTGAGAGAGCTGAAAATTAAACTCAACTTTAAGTAAAGCCAGACTGTGCAGGACAAATCGAGAGGCAATTACACTTTATTCAGAAAAGGCAAAAGACTAAAAAGTAAAATTCAAAAACAGGTACAATGCCAATGAAAAACAGTGAGGAAACACATTTTTGCAGGCCCTTCATAAATCATTTTTAGGAAATAAATATGCTTATAATCAGACTTCTGTTACTATAATATTTTAAATACTGACTAAGCCAGGATGTACAAATTTGCACAAAAACACTTACATTGGGTTGCAGGTAATCTATAATTTTAGAATAAAGCACAACTCAATTATATTTATATGTAACTCCATGAATATAAAAATCTAATTATATGATATACATATATAGGAAATCAATTACATGCTAATAAAGTAAAATATAGCAAGAAAAAGAAAAAAAAAGCTTGCACTACATTGATTCAATGGAAACACAGTTGTCCAGTCATTTATGGTTTCAGTGACCTTTTCTTTTCCCCTGTCCTGTCCTTTCCTTTCTTCTCCTTTCTTTTTTCATCCCTTGGTCCCTTCCTCAGTCTCTCCATCCCTTTCTTTCCATTTGACAGTACTGGAGATGGAACTCAGGGCATTCTATCACTGAGCTACATGTATGGCCTTTTTATTTTTAGATTTGAGACAGCGTCTTATTAAGTTATCCAGGCAGGCCTGAAATTTGAGATTCTCCTGTCTCAGCCTCTTAGAATGGTGAGATTACAGGAAAGAGCCACTGCATCCATCTCTTGATGACATGTTTTACATAAAGGAAATTCCTATCTGAGCACTATAGATAGTGAATACCAGCAGAGAAACAACTCTGGTTTAATCTTACACTTGTGGAGTCACAAAATACATATAAGCCATATTTTTAAGTTAAATACATGTAAAAATTGCCTTTCCACTCATGGCTAACTGATACTTGTCTAATTCTGGAGACATGCATTTGTAGGACTATCCAGTAATTTCCTTTTAGAAATATACCTCTACCTGAAAAAACCTTCCTACATTCCTGAAAACACACTGAAGTTTCATGACTTAAAATAAGTTACTTAACATAAAAAAATAATAACTTAAAGTTCTAATTACTTTTTTATTTTATTTAATGAGAAAAAGAAAAAAACAGAAAAATGATACGTACAAGTTATACAGAATTTCAAAAAAAATAGACAGTAGGAAATCACTAGTTAATACATTACATATTGTCATCTTAGAAATAGTTGTTCAAGTTACAGAATTAAAACATATAAAGTGGACATTCAAACAGTGAGACTGCAAACAGTTCTGTTCAATGACCCAACAAAAACTCAGTAATATGGTTATCTATCTTATACACTTAAATACACATGCAGTTATATCCTTTACAACATTTCTTTTCCTCTCTTTTTTACAATAACAATTACACATTTTGGGTTTTATTACTCCCACAGTTTTTATTACTTTTCTTTTGAAGAGAATAAAATCAAATGTGACATAACAAAACAGAGTCAGTCAAAACAAAAGGATGGACATAGTACATAATGTAAAAAAGGAATACAAGGTGATCAACAATGGTTACCATAATGCCATTTTCTATCTTAAAAAGTATTGCCTATATCATCAGTTATAATAAAATTGAACAAAACAGTAAAAAACAAAACCAATAAAACCAAAACACTGGAGAAATTACAGAACTTCAAAAGAAGAGAATAGTCAAACCAGAATGGGCATCATAGTGAATCTTACTGTCCTCACAGTTGTTGCCTATATTCTCAAAGTTGGTACTATCAAGCAAAATAGAATAGAGGAAAATCAGTCAAAACAAGATGGTGAGAGCAATACAGGGTTTCAAATCAAGTTAATAGGAAATCAAAGTGGGTTACTACAATATATTCTGCTATTTTTATTGTTCTCTTAATTAAGATAAAAATAAATAAATAAGGAGATAAAAGAGGACATAACAACAAAACAGCACAGATCAGAACATAAGAATTTAAGCAAAATAGAGTTTCACCACCAGCTATCCCGACCTAAAAGTAGCTACCATAGTGTCTCTTTCTTTGAAATCTTTGAGTATAACTTTGCATACTGCAGCATCAAACATATCAAAACAATGTAAAAACCATTCAAGAGAAGAATAGTATTACAGAGTATTTAGAACCAATGATCAGAAAATGAACTGGTTTATGTATTATTTCCTTGTCTGTAAAAGTGTTTGTTTATATTATCACATATAATAAAATCCAATAAGATACAACATGTTACGACTGATGGAGACAGAAGAACAAAAGCTTGATGGGACTTCAAAACAAGATGATATTAAACCAGCACTAGCTATTATGATGTCTTGTTTTCTCCAAAATAGCTGTTTCTACCATCCAATCTTCTCTGCCTCATTTCCGTTGAGCTCTTTTTCTGTTGTTTGTTGTCAGTTTGTCTTCTTCCTTTTGCTTTCTGCTCCATTCATTGTGGCCTCTCTGCCACTGTTTCTGGAATCCTGGTAATTTTCTTTTTTTAGAATCTCTGCAGTATTCTCTGTAGAGTTGAATTGGTGGTTGAAAATTCCCCTAGTACTTCTTTATACTGGAAGCACCTTGTTTCTCTATTAATTTCTAGGGACAGTTGTGCATGATATATCAATCTTGGCTGGAGGTTATTATCTTTCAAAGCTTGAATTATTTCCCCGCACGTTCTTCGTGATTTGATGGTTTGTGCCGAGAAAGTCTGCTGTAATTCTGATGTGTGTTCCCTTGTAAGTGATCTGTTTCTTGTCTCTGACGGCTTTTAATATTCTGTTCTTATATTAGATTTCTGGAATTTTGACTATTATATGCCTGGGTGTAGCTCTGTTTGGGTTATAGGTGGCTGGGGTCCTGTATGCCTTATACATCTGAGGGTCTTTACCATTTGCTAAATTAGGGAAATTCTCTTGGCTTATTTCTGTGAATAGCTTTTGTAGTCCATTTGTTTGTGTCCCTACTTCTTCTTTTATGTTCTTAAGTTATAGATCCTCTTATCATCTTCTAGTCTTTGTATTATTGCTGTGTGTTTCCTTGTTATTTTTAAGAAGTTTTTCCTTTCATGCTCCCACATTACTAATCTGTCCTCCAGTTCAGATGATCTATCCTTAGTTTCTTTCAAGCTGTTATGCCAGCATTCAATAGAGTTTTTAGTTTCCTGGTATTCTCTTTGAACCTGCTTCACGTATTCTATGTTTTCTCTATTTTCTCCATCAAACAATTCTCCCCTTTTTTTCTGTTCTTCCATTCCACCATCTTTTTTTTTCTTGGCAGGTACTTAACATTTTTTAACTATTCTACTTATATCTTGCTTTACTTGGTTAAATATTTCACTTTTGAACTCGTCTATGAGGTCCCGGAGATATCACTTTATGTCTCTTGGTGCCGTGCCTGATATTGCATGTTTTCTGTTCTCATTCTCCTTTGCATTTACCTTTCTTGGATCAGTGTTCTTAGGATTGGGAACTGAGGACCCTTTCTTATTGCTCCTTCTTCCCATACTTTTTGTTCCTTCCATACAATCATATGTAGGAGGCCCAGTTTCTTTCTTTGTGGATTACATTTTGTTTGAATCGTGCCAGCTAGGTCTTCCCACTCACTGCAGTTTACTAGGGAGACATGGACCTGGGCAGCCTATGCTGGGCCCGCCCCTCCAGGTTAGTCAGTCTGCTGAAGGCTTCACTGCCATTAGGGCGCACTGCCAGGCACATGGACCTGATTTGGGCTAGCCTAGTGGGTCTTAGTCCACAGTGTCACCCAGCGCAAGCATTCCCCACCAATCCCGCTTGAGAGGGGAATATGTGACTAAAGTCACTGCAGCGTCCTGTTCCAGCTAGTTTGCCCAATCCCAGAATGTCCTCTGTTGGAACCTTCTCGTCTATGGAAAGGTCTCCGTTCCTCTCACTCACCGCAGGTCGATGCAGCTCTGCTCTCAATTCAGTTCACGGATTCCTGCTCTCAGAGCATTTGCATCTCTATCCCTGCTGGGCCGATTCAGATGCAGTGGTGGCAGCAGGAAATTCAGGCCACAGTTTCCAGAGGCGTGGGTTCCAGCATCAGCACTGAGACTTTAGCTGTTCCAGTCATAGCATTGGGATTGCATTTCCAGTTGGTTTCTCTCTGCTCCTGGGTTCAGTTCGCTCCTGGGTCAGCAACGTATATCTCCCCCTGCTTAGGATTCCCCACACCACACCATTCCTGGAATCTAAGCTGGCTATCTCAGAGAGCCTCTGTAGCTGCTATCTATCCACC